CCTGCCGGTCCTCACAGGCGTTCTCCTCAACAGAGCTTTTGTTGTCAACGGTCCCCGAGGCAGCATTTGTGGCTGGGAGAAAGCGCATGCCCGTAGCGCGCTGGCCAATGCCACCGGTGCCAGGGCCGACTGCAAAACTCCACCCTGGCGCCCAGCAGCCAATGCATCCCATTAAAAAAGGGAGAGGGGAAAGTACAGGGCTCTTAAGATAAAAGTGGCGAAATGCAGCCACCCACGAGCCACCCAAGAATTCCTAGCCGCACTCCTCATGTTCCCTCCTGTTTGTCGCTTGCAATTCTGCAGCGATTGAGCACTTTCGGTAGGTGAGCGCAAAGGTTCGCTGGCTCCGATGAGCAGTCCCCTTCCATGTACACACAGACACACAGGCAGAGCAATGAGCCACTGGGGTGCCCGGCTGTGTGTTGGCTCACGGGGTGCTCCGTAGAGCTGCTGAGCCTGCAAAGGAAATCTCAGATGAAACTATGGGATTGCTGGAGTAGATGGAGGTGCTTGCATGCACGGTAGCACTGAGGCATGCTTCCAGCAGCACGCATGGGATAGGTGCAAGCTGATGTATGAATGATCACCTTCAACGGCCAGCCCAGCAGGTACGCTGTGTTGCAAGACAGCACCTGGGCTTGAGTTGGAGCGTTCTCAAACCAGCATGGATACAAGCCTGGCCTCTCTTGCCTCATTGTTCTGACCACTTTATCCCTGCTCCCCGCCTATAACTCATTCGTCACTATGGCCATTATTCCCACCAAATCCCTGAACATTCGTATCTGAACCACGGTACGGTTTATATCATGGCCCTGTTGCGCGGGGCGCTGCACAGCCATGAAGCGTGTGCACACATGATCTATAGTCCAAGTAGGTCTCGAACTTGGTTAACGACAAGATGCAACCACTGGAGGAAAGAAACAAATGGATGATGCGGGGGGAGGACGAGTTAACAGTGACATGAGCTTGTTTATTTATACATTGCCAATAGGGAGGAGGACCAGAATATCATACAAGAAGATCTGGAGGACCTTGAAAACTGGAGTAACAGAAATGGGATGAAATTTAATGGTGCAAAGTTCAAGTCATGCACTGAGGAACTAACAACAAGGGTTTTATTATAAGCTGGGGACCTATAGTTGGAAGTGACAGAGGAGGAGAAAGACCTGGGTGTTTTGGGTGATCACAGGATGATTATGAGGGGCCATAATGTGATGTGGCTGTGAAAAAAGGCTAATGCAGTGCTAGGATACCTCAGACGAGGTGTTTTCAGTAGAGACAGGGCAGTGTTATTGTTATACAAGGCCCAGATGAAACCTCACCTGGCATAGAGTGCGCAGATCTGGTCTCCCATGTGTAAGAAAGATTACTTCAAACTGGAACAGGTGCAGAGAAGGGCTACTAAGATGATCAGAGGAATGGAGAACCTACCTTATGAGAGGAGACTCAAAGAACTTGGCTTGTTTAACCTAACCAAACGCAGGCTGAGGGGAGAGATGATTGCTCTCTATAAATACAACAGAGGGATAAATACCAGGGTGGGAGAGGAGTTATTTAAGATAAGTGCCAGTGTGGACACAAGAACAAATGGATATAAACTGGCCATCAAAAAGTTTAGGGTCAAAATGAGACAAAGGTTTCTAACCAGCAGAGGAGTGAAGTTCTGGAACAGCCTCCCCAGGGGAGCAGTGGGGGGCGAAAAACCTAACTGGAGGTGGATGGGATGGGATTGGGGGGATGGGATGGTGGGACTGCCTATGATGGCATGTGGTCCTTAGGTGACTGCCCGTAGCAAAAATCCCCAACTGCTGGAGACTGAGTTACTGCAGAGAATTCTTTCCCAAATACCTGCCTGCTGGGTCTTGCCCACATGCTCAGGGTCTAACTGATCACCATATTTGGGGTCTGGAAGGAATTTTCCTCTGGGTCAGATTGGCAGAGACCCTGGGTTTTTTTTGCCTTCCTTTGAGGCATGGGGCACAGGTCACTTGCAGGTTTAAACCAGTGTAAATGGTGGATTCTCTGTAACTTGAAGTCTTTAAACCATGATTTGAGGACTTCAGTAACTCAGCCAGAGGTCAGGGGTCTATCACAGGAGTGGGTGGGTGCGGTTCTTTTGTTCTGTAATGTGCAGGAGGTCAGACTTGATGATCATGATGGTCCCTTGGGGTCTTAAGGCCTATGAATCTAAAGAACAACCTATGAGCTGTTCATTGAGCCTGGCCGTTATTCTTGGGGTGTGACTGGTCACCGAAATCACAAGGCTCCCTGACTGGATTTCAAACTTAAAAAAACAACAACCAAAAACCAAGAAGATAATGAATGATGGATCACAAATGCCACATTTTTACAGTAGATAAAAATGATCGATGAATAATCTTGCGTTAAAATAGGGAGAAGTTTTGGGATCCGGGAATATTTGAATAAGCCAGTGGTGATCTAAATTCCAGTGAAAATTTAACAACATGACTCACACAAACACAACCGAACAAACTCTCCAAGGTGATTCATGAGCATCTATTCACCAGTCTCTTGTCTATCAACCAACCAGTTCTACTCACAACCATGTTTTCACTCCATCCCTGGTTCTACACTTGGAGCTAACTGGCAAAGTGTTTTGCTTGCACTTGTGATTCTTCCAAATTGCGTGCAGCAAATTGAGTGCAGCCCTCATCTTCTCAGCCGGGGGAGGCCAACCTGAGCCTGAGAAGGAGCCAGAATTTACCAATGTACGTTGCCAAAGAGCCACAGTAATACGTCAGCAGCCCCCCCATCAGCTCCCCCCACCCCGCACCCAGTGGATCCCGCTCACTGGCAGCCCCGATCAGCGCCTCCCACTCCCTCCCCGCACCTCCTGATCAGCTGTTTCGTGGCGTGCAGGAGGCTCTGAGGGGAGGGGGAGGAGCGAGGGCATGGCTGGCTCAGAGGAGGGCGCAGGAAGGGGTGGAGTGGGGGAAGGGCCTGTGGCAGAGCCAGGGGTGGAGCAGCGAGCACCCCCCGGCACATTGGAAAGTTGGTGCCTGTAGCTCCAGCCCCGGAGTCGGTGCCTGTACAAGGAGCCGCATGTTAACGTCTGAAGAGCCGCATGGGGCTCCGGAGCCCCAGGTTGGCCACCCCTGCTCTCAGCGGTCGTAATATTAGGTTTACTTGCAGTACATTATTCAGCCTCTAGATGGCTCTGTGTGGCGTACAGAGCCCAAACAGGTTGTGGGGACCGGTAAACAAAGGAAACAAAGTGAGAACTCAAGCTGTGGGGAAGCCGGATTGTATCTACAGTTTGTAAGTGTTTTCTCCATATTTCATACTCTTCAACTACACATAGTTTTCATGAGGATGGTTTTGATTCTCTAATGAATCCAGCCCAAGATATAAGAGCCCATCTACTTTACTGTTATTAAATTTTTAAAATCTGTAATGTACAAACTCATCACAATCTCTGAAGATGTTTCTGGTGATTTGAGAATGAGCCATATATTAAGCAACACACCTGACCAGAGGAGTCAGGTTGGACAATGTCTTTCCATCCCACCAAAGGGCACAGCCTGCTCACTTATGTGCGGTCAATACAAACGTCACCAGTAGGTTGGACACGGAAAATCGGATGGTGACCTAAATTCAGCTGAACCGAAGAGAAAAATAAACTCCATTGTGAGCGTGTCTACTTTAATTCCATACATTGCATTGATTCCTAAGTGAGGCTGCCACAGAATTTCTAGCGGGCTGTACCCCAATGCCCCAGAAACGAACCCTGCCATGCGATTTAGACTTGTTCAACACAGGCAACATTAAGGAGTGTAGGAAACTCACGACTAGCTTTCTAAAGGGACAGACGTTACGGACTCTTTGCAGACAAGCCGTGGACACCAACTGCTCCTTTGAAATTCATTATTCTCACGAGAAGAGGATGAACGTTAGAAAAATCGACTATATTCCTCTAGCCCAGAGCCAACGCGCTTTTGTAATCTCAACTCCATCTTCAGAGCTAAAACCGGTTTGTTGGATGCAAGTGACAGAAAACCTCCCCTCTAAATGACTAGATGACCTCCAGAGGTCCCTTCCAACTCTGATATTCTAAATGGCTCAATGGTAAAGGCAGGAGGCCCTTGGGATCTGTCTGGAGAGATCCCTTGTAGAAACAACCCCAGTCCAGTTGTACCCCCACCGCCCCCATGGCCAGAGCCTGTGGCCCCTGCCTCATTGTGACCTCACTGATCTCTGCACGTCAGATGACACGTGTAAGCAAGATCAGAAGCACCAAGACCAAGAGCACAGAAAATAACCCTCCTGCGAGCCAGACTGCTGTACAATACAGGAGAGCCTGCAAACAACTTCCCCTTCCCTCCCGTGCTCGGCTCCTTTCAAAGTCAACCCTCCCCAACAACACCCCAGGAACATCAGCTCTGCCATTCCCTGAAGAGCAATTAAAAAAATCCCCAGCTGCCAGCGCCAGCCCCAGCTGTGCTGCCAGTCAGATGCTAACGACCAACCTCCCGTGCACAAAGGCAGAGAAGAGAGGAAGCCCTGGATCTCCCGTCTCCGCCCTGGGCAGGGTGACCACCTTCCAAATTGCCAGAGGGGCATCTTGATCACCAAAGCAGGCAGGGAATAGCTTATGTCTGGTGAGGAACTCCCTGGATACTAAACCCCTCCCTTGCTAATATCACCAACAGTCCCTTAAGGTGCAGTTGGTTAAGTCATGACCTCATCTGCTTTTGATGCATCTTAATACGTTCTAGGAAGGTCACCTCTGAGCATGAAACAGCCTTCTCCATCCACGTACGCAACTGATAATGACGAGAATTAATCTGCACAAGGCCCAGAGAATCCTGCTTCTCCCTCCCAGCAGCTAGAGAAGCAATCAATGTGCTGAGAGGTGCGTACGGGATGGGACGCCTTTATCTTCATTCCCTGATGGATTCCGCAAGCGTTGTGCTCAGGCCCGCTGCAATCTACGCCCTGCTATTCCCCACCTCGCCCCGCGTTTCCGGATAGTTTCCTACCGGGTGCAGCTTGCATCTCGGCCACGCCTCCAGCCACAATGAGAGCCTCGATGATCTTTGCATGGTGTTCTGAGTTCACGTCCGTGCTGTGAAGAGAAGGGGGTGGAAGGTGAGGAGAGAGCTCTGAGAAGGGACAGTCCAAGCCAACTGGTTAGGGATATGGCCTGCGAGACAGATAAGCCATGGGGCTCTTCATAGGTCCTGAAGACCGGACGGGAGAGTGACACCACCTGGAAATACAAATGTTCTCCAGACAAGGGAGCGGGCCGTGGCTCTCTTCCTGAGGAGGAGCAGGGCCTTTAAGGAGTTCATCTGAAAGCACCAAACTTCCCCACTCCCTTGTTCCGCGGGAGGGGGCTGTGAATAAATCCAGAGGTGCTGCATGTTAGTAGCCACAACGCTTGTGTTACCATCGCCTCACACTGCTTCCCTGGTTCTGGACACTCAGGGGTCAGTGGAACCTTCTATTTGTCCTTTCAGGGAATGGCCTTCGATTCCTGCCGCAATCCCGTGGGGCTTGAAATTACAGCTCCCAAACCGGCTATATTCAGGGGTGCCGGAAGCTCCCTACAAGTGAGGGGGCCACTGAAGCCCGAACTGTGGTCCCACCCCACCACACTGCCCGTTCCCTGCCTGAGGCCCTGCTCCTGCTTCTCCCCAAGCCTCTGTCCTCGCACGGCCCATTTTCCCCCGAGGCCCCGCCCTCACACTGCCCCTTCTTCCTGAGCCCCTGTGCCGCCTCTTCCCCCGAGGCCCCGCCCCTTCCCCTGATGCCCCACCTCCCGCACCGCCTCTTCCCCTGAGGCCCCACCCCCATGCCGCCTCTTCCCAGAGGTCCCGCCTCCCACACCGCCTCGTCCCCCCAAGGCCCCACCTCCCGCTCACTCCTCTCCACCCCCTCCTCCTCATCACTTGCCCTTATGGCTGGTAAAATTTGGGAGGGCCTAGCCCTCTTTTAAAAGTGATGGGGTCATGGCCCCCCTGACCCCCCCCCCGGCTATATTCCCAATAACAATTGTATCAGCGAAGGCGTCGGCACCATGGCTGGGTAGTGGTAATAGCATGCCGGGCTTGACACCCCAGAATAGGGGATGGGAAGGGAGATTACGCCCAGGATCAAATGTGTCTAGGCAATAGGTGGGTTTCTAACACGTTTGCAAAGTGTGGGTGGGTGGGTGAGATTCTGTGGCCTGCATTGTGCAGGAGGTCAGACTGGATGATCATAATGGTCCCTTCTGACCTTAATATCTAATACCTATGAATCAAAGCCTCGTGTGGCTACTCCACAAAACGACCAAAGGTGTGTAGCAAGCATTCATGAAGGGCCAATGCCAAGCTTTGCAAACATGTTGGCTAAGGAGAGTGGATTGTCCATTTGCTCGAGGTAGAAAACTCTAGTAGAGACAAGCCCTTAGAAAACCCCGAAGAAGTGCCAGAGCACTTCTGGGTCTGTTAACCAATCCCACTGTAACTGAGTGCAGGGCTGGGTACAGGGCATGGCAGGCAAGATTTCAAATATCAACGCTCACAGCAGAAAAGCTTCTCATTCATGTTTAGGGGACAACCCTTTCACTATTTCCTTCCAGAGCCAGGCAGTGTGGCCAGTGGGTGGGGCACGGGAAGGGGATGTGGAAGACCTGAGCTCTATTCCCAGCTTTGCCACTATGCCTCAGTGTCCCATCTTTAAAATGGCGATAAAGATCCCTGCTTTGAGATCTATAGATAAAAAGATCTGTGCAATCTGCTTAATAAGTGCTATGTTCTTGTGTAAGTTGCTGGCTATGCATGTATGATAATACACACATTAGCTAGCAGCTGGCCTACAGAGAGGATAAGAGCCTGCTACTGCTACAGGCTAAGGGAATTGTTCCCTTAGCTCAGGTGGTTGAGGCCTGTGCATTTGGCAATGAAAGTCCTGGGTTTTAACCCAACCAATTAATTGCTACACACGGGGTTGGGGGATGGCGGAATTTTTTAAAATATTGTTATTATGAAGCACTAACGCTTCGGGGAAAGGATGGAGAAATGGACTGTGCCTGTATGTTTGTGCTGGTAGGTCACCTCGATCTACTACACACAGCATATGCCGTTATGAGCAGGATCTAAACAGCGTCTGTGGCTCAGCAGCAACCTGATGGGACCTGCCTGCCTGACCAGCCTCTCGGGGCTGGGTCAGGTCTGATGACCTTCTCCTGCCCGTGGGCTTGGCTCAGCAGCCGTGTGCCCAAACCACTGGCCGTCACCACCTCGCCGCACACGCGTGCTGTGGAGTGGGTGTGCCGAGGAGTTACAGCACCTCCCACTCCACAACACGCACACAGAGCGGCAGGGGGCAGCGTCTGGCTGGCAGATTCGGCAGAGCCGGGGCAGAAAACAACTCAACCCCCCCAGGCTGGGCTTGGAGCTGGGTCAGGCTTAAATCTTAGGCACGAGCAGAGCTCTACACCCTGGGGTGGGGGAGGAATAGGCTCTCTGAACAAAATCACTAAGGTCCTGGTTCAGAAAGGCATCTCTGTTCGGGAAGAGCACTGAAGCACATCCTGAACTTAAACCCCATTACAGTCAGTGCAACTTTGGCTTGCACTTCAGTGCGTCACAGAATTGGGGCCACAAACCCAGAGCCGTGACCCTCTGTGTGAAATCACAGCTGGTGGCTCTGCAAAGGGCTGTGAGGTCAGAGGGGCTTGTGATGGGATGTTTTGCTTTTCTGCAGCTCATTTCAATGAAAGCTCTCAAAGCACTCCAAAAGAGCAGGCAGTTCAGCCTCACTCACCTGGGAGCCAGGCCAGTGTTGGGATTATACCCATTTTACAGACAGGCAAAGTGAGGCCAAATGCCCCAGGTTTCACAGCAAGCCAGCGACAGAAGCAGGAATAGAACCCAGGCGTCCTAGCGTTCCCATCGCTGCTCCTACCCCTAAACAAACCCTGCCTTCGATATTGTGGCAGGGGAACAAGAGGCAGCAGAGGAACTGTTCGGAAATAAAAAAGATGGGGGAAAAAACTACCCTCCCGAAGATAACACACGCAAAACTCCTTCCTAAAGAGCACGTCTTTTCCCTCCAGCAGGCCGCCACACTCCAGGACAGCGCTACAAGGCTCCGACACCGCAGGCCTATTTCATTTTAAGGAATTAACAGCCTCCTCAACGGCAAAGGGGAGAACGGGTGGACTGGGTTTTTCCCCCATGAGCGGACAGTTTTTAAACCTCCTTCAAGGACCAAATGGCCTGTTGTTAAAGGGACGTCGTCAAATAGCTGAAGCCTTCCAGCTGCCTCACCTTGAACTTGTCACGGAGGAATGGCATCCGAGGCTGGATATCAGCCGGGTTTGGGTTAGCCCTGTGCTCGTTTGGAGCTGGACAGCGTCCGAGAAGGGACATGAGTTCTGTTCTATGAGCAGGGACCACAGGCCAGTTCCTAACGAGCAGCTGCCTGTGGTACCAGCATCGTTGACAGAGCTGGAGACAGCTTCAGCAGAGAGGCATGAGGAGAAAAGGGCCATAGAGCCGGAGCTAGGGTCGACACTAATGGTTCGTATTAGGGTAGAGTGGCCAACGCACTGGCGAACTGAACCAGGGACCTCCGGAGGTAAAAGCACACACAGGCTGCTACAGATCGACTTACAGCTCCCTAGCTGGGCTGTAACACAGTGGTTCTCAACCAGGGGTCTGCTGCCCCCTGGCAGGCCCGTGAGCTGGTTTCAGGGGGCACAGGGCCCTGAGCCCTGGCACCCCCATGGGGCTGAAACCAGAGCAGAGTCGTGAGGAGCCCTGAGCCCGGGTGCCCCCCCCCCGCGGGGCTGAAGCCAGGAATGGAGCTGTGGGGCTGAAGCCCTGGTGCTCCCCCGTGGGTCTAAAACCCTGAGCCCTGGTTTCCCTGCAGGACAGAAGCCCGGACCCCTGAGACTCCCCCACCCCACAGCTGAAGCCCCAGCCCGCCCATGCCTGGTGGCTGAAGTCCAGAGCCCCGAGTTCCCCCACCCCTCCGCAGCTGAAGCCCTGAGCCCTGCAGGGCTAAAGCCTCAAGCCTTCCCCCCGCCAAGGTGACTGAAGCCAGGAACCCCGAGGCACCCTCCCGCAGGGCCCTGGAGTTTTTATAGTATACTGGGGGGAGGAGGAGGGCTCAGAAAGAAAAAGATTGAGAACCCCTGTGGTCACAGACTCATGTCATGTGCTGATCTGACGCAGAAAGGGCTCTGTCAGCCCCACTTGACAGTGGGTTACCACAGCACCTAGCGGCCCTGCTGAGACCACAGCCCCGCCCCGCCCCACCCCACAGTGCTAGGCACTGTCCATATGTTATAACAAGAGCCAGGAGCGTCTCAAAGCCAGCTCACCATGATGCAGGTGGGCGGAAAAGCACCTCGCCGAAGAGCTCCCCCAGGGCCCTGGGGGTGAGGTGGCTTTTGCTGCTGTTCTGACCCAGTTTGCAGAAATGGCTGGTGAGGTGCTGCAGGAGGAGGCCATGCTGCTGGGGGAAGGTGGGCGACTCCAGGACCATCTTCACCCGCTGGCCGCACTCTTCCAGGCTCTGGGTTTCTGTAGGGGAGGAGAACAAAAGGGAAGGAAGCTTTTAGCCCAGGGAAGAGCATCCCAGCACCAAGCCCAGGGGGCTGGGGAAAAGTTTGTTACCCAGGCCGCTCAGGTGAGATTTATTTCCCATTGGCCAGCCTCATTCCTCTCCACACTACAGATCAGGGGTTTAGCAAACTCAGGGCTGGGTTGATTGTCACAGCGGCTGACCGTACTGCAGGTGAGGGTCGCCCCTCTGCCAGCACCAGCCCTCAGGTCTTGAGTGGTCCCTAGACGTTGTGACGGCCCCTTTGCCCAGCAGTGAATTTCACCCTGAAAGAGCAGCTGCATTCTACATCTGGCTGGCCAAACACCCACGTGGTGCTGGTGATGTGTCCACCCTGGGAAACGGCCAGGATTTTATCTGCCCAAGAGTCTCTGGGCAAGGCTTTCAACGCAGCCCGAACCCCTTTGCAACAGCTGTAACACACACCGCTTAGCCTCTACACCCCCACCCCCCACGTCCCTGCAACTTCCCCGCTGCCACTTCACGTCCCAGCCCCTCAGAACTAAGCCTACCTTTCACGTTGCTAATTCTTTGTAGCGCGCCCTTTATGTTCCGCCCTGGGATCTGCGGCTGTTTAGCCCCATGCCTGTAAGGTTATTTCATGAGCTCACCCAAGCCAGGCTGTGCCACAGAGCGGGCTGGCCCTTGTTTTACAGAAAATAAATGGCCACAACTCAAAATGGCCACCTGGGTGCTAAAGATCAATAGTCCTTTATTGAGACAACCAAAATACTGGCCGTGTGAGGCTCCTGACCAGGGCAGGTGTCTTGTGTTAAGACAGGGAGACCCATCCTTTCCCATCACAGTTTCACCCAGAACTGGCCTTTGAAAGAAGCAATCAGTTCTTTTTAATCTGGCCTGCCGGGCCCTGATTGGCCCCTGCCTGCTCCCAGCCCTTCTGGCCACTGGAGGACCAAGTCTCACTGGTTCCACAAGCAGCTGATCCTGTGGGCGGGGAGCTTCCTTAGGTAACCCCTAGAGGTCTAAACTTGCTGCTCTTCTCTTCCAAAAGGACCCACTTCATAGGGCAGAGTGTGTTTATAAAAGTGGGCTTGCAATCACCGTAACTTCACCCCCAACTTTGTCTCCCGTGTTCCTCGGTTTAGTGCCAACGTGACGTGTGTTCCCTGCAAATTTGGTATCTCTCCCCTTCCCTTTTATTGCCAACGGTTATTTATGCCAGAAAGAGAGAGTCATCATGCAGAGGTTGCCGAGAGAGTTCTTTAAGCCGAAGAGTTGAGCCTTACACCATTTTAAGATCCCGGCATGAATAACCATTCGTGTGTCCCCCCCTCCTTGGTCCCACACTGGGGCTCTCGCGCAGATGTACCCAGCTTTCGGACACAGGAAGCACAACTACGCCGCATCACACTGGGTCAAGAAAAGGCTGAAATGCTAACACTGATTTCTAGTCATTCCAGACCCACTCCGCTGACCTCGGCACGGTGAGTCTAAATTCCCCCTGGGGTAACAGAGAGCAGAATCTGGCCAGATGCAAATACATTCCATTTCAACCTGCATGATTCCAAAGCACTTTACCGACTGCATAGAGGAACCCCTTCAGCCACCGCTGAAATGCAGCCACCTCTAGGGTTGCACATGGCAGCTGTTTAACAGCAAACAGTGACTCAGCAGTTTCGGACAGGAAATGAAGAATTCCATGTACAAGGGAAGCTGCAGGGGAATTTAAGCAGGCACCGTCTAATGACCCACAGTGGATTTTGCCCAGGATGGGCCCTTACACCTACACAGAGAAGGATTTGTGCGCTGTAGTTTATAAAAGTGAAATTGCCTCTGTCAGTGGGACTTGGGGAGGATTTATGTGGTCCACATGCTTGCAATATAGTTTTGAGTACCATCTTGTACAATGAAAGCATCACAGGGCATTTCCTGGCTGACTATGATCTATACCTGGCAGGGGAATAAGGGAAGCCTGTGGGTGCTAGTAAGTCACTCAGAGGGTACGCCAGGAGCCGAAGAAGAATCATTGTGCCAAATGGGACTGTGGCAGTTTCAGACTGTAGGATTTTTTTATGGTAACCTGCAAAGGGGGGCTGGGCAATGGGTGAGTGCCCTTTATTTTTGCTTCTTTATGCTACATGAAGCAGGCTAGAAAGGTCTGAGGTGGTAAAATATGTTGGTTTTCTGCTGGCATTCGAACTCCTGTTCTTGTCTACGCTGAATCTCCCCGGATGACTGGTGCGGGGAGGAGAATTATGTCATCGCAGGCTATGCTGCTGTGATTGTTCCAGACTCGGGGGGTTTTATATGGTTTCTATCAACTCTTGAGCCAGTGGGAAAATTTCAACGTTTGGGCCTAGAAAGGCCACAAAAACATCATAAAAATGTTGGCATACTTTTACCAGCTATGTAGTTGGCAGGAGAAAATTCAGTTTGAACAGGGGGAAAAATGGATTTTTCATGAATATTTTCTCAAAGATGTCATCCCACTTTTCAAACTAATTGAATCCTATTTAATTCCACTGTCGAACGAACCCTTTGGAGAAAGGCTGTCTTTGACAAAGATCCAAATGCCTCTTCCTTTTCAATCAGAAGCTTTATTCCTCCCTTGAGTCTCCAAGGAGTCCTCCAGCAGAGCCAAGTGAGAACAGAGCTGATATTCTTGCTGTTTCTTAGGTTAAAAAATTAACAGCAGAAAAGCAACCCTTTCAGGCTTTCTGTATAGATCAGAAAGAAGTGAAAAAAAAAAGACACAGTGCTCTTTCTTTTCCCTTTGCAGGTCTCCTTTAAGGGAGGTTAAGAGTCAGAGTCAGGTCACCAATGCAGGCCATCAAACTGCGGTGCTGCCATAGGCATGGCACGAAGTCATGAAATCCCAATGAACACGGGGCCCTGACCGAGGACACAGGTCGGAGCTTTGCAAATCTGGACAATAACTTGCATTCCAGGACAGGCAGCAACCCCATCCAGGCACGACAGACGGATCTGGAAATAGGCTTTGAAGAGAGTCAGGGACTCAGTCAGATCAGCCTGGTTCTCCACTTCCTGGCAGCTTGTCTCGTCATTTGCACCCGGCGCAAAGAGCAGTGTGACTGCACAGCACGCAGGGCAAGGCGGGATCGGTCCCGGAGAGGTCACATTTTCAGACATCGTCACTGCTTTGGGGTGTCTGAAATCATGCACCCCCAAAAATCAAGGAACCCCAAATTAGTGGCCACTTTGAAAAATTTGACCTAGCTCAGCTCAATGGAAGTCAGGACTAGACGCACCAGAGGTTAGGGCACTAGTGTAGGACTTGAAAGGCCTGGGTTCAAGCCCCTGGTCCATCACACTCCCTTAGCCTCTCTGTGCCTCAGTTTCCTCTCTGTACAATGGGGGTAACAGCCCTGTATTACTTAGGGTGACCAGACAGCAAGTGTGAAAAATTGGGACAGGGGATGAGGGGTAATAGGAACCTATGTAAGAAAAAGACCCCAAAATTGGGACTGTCCCTATAAAATCAGGACATCTGGTCACCCTAGTATTACTAGGGGGTGTGAGGCTAAATCAGCTACACGTGTGTGGTGCTCAGCTGCTATAGGGATGGAAAAGCACCGAAGAGAGAGAGAGAACCCAGGAGTCCTGCCTTCCAGTCCCCTTGCCTAATCACTAGGCAACACTGCCCAACACATCTCTCCATGGGTATTAGCACTGGGCGGGGCGCGGGGTGATGCCAAGTGGGTATGTGAGCTCAGCTGGCTTGACAGCCTGTGCCTGCGTGGCTTTGCAGCTCATGCGAAATCAGAGCGGGAGTTAAAAAGGCAGGAGCTCAATGAATAACCGAAGCCTCTCTTTTGGGCAAGGGAAGCACCCACTGCCAGCGAATGCTGACCCGAGGGAGGGTGGCGTCAAGGACACCGGAGGGCTCTAATTAAGCAGAGGCCGGGTGGGGCGACCAGGAATAGCAGCCAGGGCACAGCCGCACAGCAGACGTGTGATCTTGCAGCCCTGTGCCTGGCCGCTGAGTGGCGGCTACATTTTCGTGTGGATTCCAGTAGCACCTGGAGGCTCCTGCCCAGAGCAGAGCCCCGTGGTGGTGGGTGTTGTATATATGTCTTCCAGACCCCCAAATGCTGGGGTAGGAGGTGGCTTCAAACCCGAGCTTGGGCACCTCTCCGATCAATCCCATCGCGCCCCTCCCTTCAACATCATCTCACCGTGTCTCTTCTCTTCCACGGGCACTAAGGAGATGCCCAGGCTGCCTGTGGGATGTCGCTCAGCCAAACAATACTAGTAACACCCAGCTCTTCTCTACCACTTGCCACCCGCCCAGCTCCAAGCGCTTTACAAAGCAGGGCAGGATCATTATGCCAGTTGTACAGGTGGGGAAACTGAGGCACAGGGAAGTGCTGCGACTTGTCTATGGTCACCCAGGAGGCCAGTGGCCCAGCCAGGAGTAGACTCCTGAGTCCCAGTCCAATGCTCTGTCCCCTAGACCAATAACCGCAAAAGGGAAAAGATTTGCTTCCTGCAACTGTCTCCCACCTGCTAAACTGTGTGCCCTCCCCAGGATTACCGGTCAGTGTAGGGATATGGCAGACACATGGCACAATGAGCTGCCACCCAGGGCAGCACGCTGGGGGTCACCTCGATGGGCTGGGCAGGAAGAAATTACCCAGCAGCCTCCTTTGCTGGTTCAATACGTAGCAGAGATGCCGGGCAGTGATGCTGCTAAGCCCCTCCCCACCAGCTCCACACCTAGGCACCCCGGCACTGTTTGCTGGTTACAGGTCGCGGGTTGCCACGAATGCAATTTAGCTGATGTCAACTGGCCGGTCACCTAATGTCAGTTCTCAGCAGAGAGCTGCGGATCGCCTCGCCCCAGTCTGCAGTCAGCCTGGGGGCGGGCTCCTCCTGGGAACACTACATACCCGACGGGGGGAATCGGAACCCTTTGCTAAGAAACCAGCTCCCTCGGTGGCCCCATCTCTCCACAGCCACATCTGCACTCATAGCTATG